TCAGTAAGTAAGCAGATCTTAACTACATATAGTTATTCTTAAGTGTTATAAAAAGGCTATACAATTGTGCATTGGTTAATGACAATCGGAGAAATGCACCGCTATGTGTAACGTGAAATCTGAAAGAGATTTTCTTGGACTTGGCTTCCTAGTTTTGGGATAGCAACAAAGGAGTTATAATTTAACCACAGAAGAGGGACAACATTTAAATATTATTTTCTTTTCTTGTTGTTTCTTTGTTTGCTTTTTGAATCACACCTGGCAATGCACAGGGGTTACTCCTGGCTCTGCACTCAGGAATTACTCCTGGTGATGCTCAGGGGACCATATGGGATTCTGGAAATCGAACCTGAGTCGGCTGCGTGCAAGGCAAACAGCCTAACCAAAGTACTATCAGTCCAAGCCCTAAAAAATATTTTCTAATGTAAGTGCTGTGATCGTTTCTGTTTTGTCCAGTGCTCAGCAGTTACTCCTGGTGGTGTGCAGGAATGCAGTGGTCCCAGAGATGGAACCTGGGCTGCCCGCAAGCCAAGCCTTCACTCCAGTTGCTAAACCTTTAGCCCAACTTTCTTAATTTGTTTCAACACCATAAGTTGACTACTGTGCACATACACATACACACATACCCAGAGTATTGCCAAAACTCTGGCATGGATTTTAGACAGTTACTTGTTTTTCATAATCTTACACTGCATTGCCAAAATTTTTATTGGGATGTTCCAAGTCCATATTTTCTCTTCAACATGTATTGCTCTTTTTCTCCTTGCCTTATTCTGGAAAAGCCTATGTTCGTTCTCTCTCTCTCTCTCTCTCTCTCTCTCTCTCTCTCTCTCTCTCTCTCTCTCAATCTCTCTCTCCCCCATCCTCCTCTCCCTCTTTCCCGCTCTCTCTCTCCCATACACACATTCTCTAAATTTCTTCAAATTGAAACTTTTGCTTCACAATAAACATATTGTTTCATAATGATTATCACACGAAATGAAGGCAATCCATAATTTTTAGAGGTAACATGCCAGAAAGACTTTCTGCTCAGTATACTCCCTCATTGAGGAAGAGGCGTTACCCAGCTCTGCTCAGGAATTTCTTGTGGCTCTGTTCTCAGGAATCACTGCAGCAGTGCTCAAGGCATAATCTCTGGTGACTGAAGATAGATCCAGGTCAGCTGTGTGCAGGACAGGACACCCGACATGCCATCCTATCTGCTCACATTTCAGACAGGGAAACCAAGATTGCAAGAAGTGGTCCCACTGCCCAACTCTTACTAACCTTAACCCTCATGCTTTCCTGCTTCTGGGCCATTTAATAGCCCTCAGAGACACCTCTTTAATGTTCTAGCTGCATTATCATGAGTCATTCCTCTGTTGCTCTAGACTCTATTTTAATACTATATTAACTAAAATACCTCACAGAGAACAGACATTTCACTTCCTTTCCAAATCGAGGACTTTACACATTTATTTTTTATGTATCTTTCCCCTATTTGATCAACTTTTGCAATCAATATATCAGCAAATCCTATTAGTTGGGTCTCTCTATCTTGTACATCTGCCCTCTCTCTTTCTACAATTCTCTCCTTATTGCACATGCTAACTTCTTTTTCCTGTATTTTTTCCTATAAATTTATCTTCCACAGTGTAGTTTATCTATTTTAAAGGCTATAATATAATGAGTTCTCTTTCCACATTAGTCATCCTAATATTTTGTGCAGGGATGAAGAGACAGTACAGGAGTTAAGACATCTGCCTTGTAGGCAGCCTATACAGGTTTGATCCCTGGTTTCACATATGGTCCCCAGACAACTGTGAGAGTTAACTCCAGCACAGAGACAGGAGTAGCCCCTAAACACCATTGGGTTTGACCATCAAAACAAACCAACCAAAAAACCCTAAACATTTTTTAATATTTTATTACTTTCAAGTTCATTTAAAGAAACATTTGTATACTGCTCTCTTCAACTGCTACAAACACACACCTCCATTTACATTCGTGGCTTCCTCTCCTATTCCTCGGTACGGAATTCCTTTTGATAGCAAAAGAAAAATCTATTTACAACTCCTGAAAACTGATTTCTGTTGCCATACTGGTTTTCTATTGACCAAAGAAGAAAAAAAAAGTACTGAACCATACAATAAATACTGACAATGCACAAATAATTCCATGTGGGAAAATCAAAAAGATAATGGACTGATATAATTTCCTCAAATAAAACACTACACTTTCAAATTAGAAAAATAGCAAAGAGAAACGTATAATAAATGTTTTTAAAGATCTAAATATAAGTAAGCAGTATTTGTGCCAACATTTTGAACAGAAAGAATCATACCACTAATTTGATAAACACGTCCACTTTTGAGAATGAGAAACTTGACCAGTCCCAGCACTGTGTGACCAATAGAGATCTTAGAGAGTCTGAGTTTGGGGATGATACTAACTCCTACCACTAGTGCTGGGAGGAGTTAAAGATAAACAAATTGCACATTTAAACCCTCCAATACAGGGCACAATGCATGGTAAGAACTTATAAAACTTTGTATAAAGTATTATTAATTGGGGCCTGCGAGATTAATACAATGAGTAGGGTGCTTGCCTTACACATGGTCACACACCTGGGTTAAACCCCAGCAGCCCAGATGGTTTCCCAAGTCCTGCCAGGAAGGATCCCGAGTGCAGAGTCAGGAGTGTGTCCTGAGCACTGCTGGGTGAGGCCCAAAAGCAAACACAAAATATTAGTACTGAAATGGTCCCTGATGTATGAAAGAGTTGTTATAAAGAAGCTAAAGATATATTTAGTAAAAAAAAATTATAGAATGAAAAATATATGCAGAGTACTATGCACTTGGAGTATTTAGAATATTCACCAACAAGCATTTACTAGGCTGGAGAGATAAACAGCATAGCAGATAAAGGGCTGCCTTGTATGTAGCCTACCCAGTTCAATCGCTGGCACCCCAGAACCCAGAACCCACTAAGAGTCATCCCTGATGCAGAGCCAAAAAAAAATCCATAAACCACCAGGTGTGGCACCCAAACCAAAATCAGAAAAAGAAAAACAGCATTTGCCAGACTTTTTCTTTAAGGCCTTGGCCTTTTCATAGAGTACTTTCATAGAGAATTTCTCTGCTAAATACAAAATGGAAACATTTAGAGAAAATAATATCTAAATATCCCACTTGCTTGAACTTTCAAAAGGTCTATAAGAACGGGAATATATAGAATCCTGGAGACTATGACTGTTTATCATCATCACATGATTGACTGAATTTTTATTTACGTATTTAAGGACTTCTTAATGATTCACTAACCTCAGAATCTGGACACAGAGCCAACATTTCAACCCATATACTAAAAAATTCTGGGACCAGAAAGATATTAGAGGGGTACTTTCAATGGACACCTGGTACCATATATGGTCCCCAGAGCACTACCAGGGACAAGCCTACACACAAAGCCAGGAAGAAGCCTCAGCACAGCTGGTTTTAATCCAAAAATAAACAAAAAGATTGTTTTATCCCATTTCTTCACAAAAAAGGAAGCTCCTCATCAGGTTTCCATTTTCAGTGTGCAGTGGCATTGTAAGCTCCAAACCATAATATGAACACTACTAATACCTCAATAAAAAATTAAGAAAATGAAAGAGCTTGTTTCTATCAAAGTTTACATTTGTGCTGTTAACCAGTGTTAACCATTTAACTTCAAAATGATAAAGGCAAAGCTGCAGTATTAATGTCATAGTATAAATGTTCAATATTTTCTATTTGCTAATGTCATCTCAAAATAACTCATAATTGAGGCTGGAGTGATAGCACAGTGGGTAGGGCATTTGCCTTGCATGTGGCCAACCCGGGTTCAATTCCCAGCATCCCATATGGTCCCCTGAGCACCGCCAGTAGTAATTCCTAAGTGCATGAGCCAGGAGTAATCCCTGTGCATCACCAGGTGTGACCCGAAAAAAAAAAAAAGATCTCATAATGTTGGTCATGCTAAATATTGAACTACAATTTTAAAAAACAAATAGAAAGCTTTGCATGCGTGGGGTCCAGATCCCCCAAGAAATTCCACAGTATTCCCCGAACACGAAGCTAGGAGAAGTTCCTGAGCATGGTCAGGCTTGGCACACAAACAAGCTTATAAAATACAAATGCAGCCAAGAAAGTGATGGAGGGACACTGATTCTCTGCTGGTGTGTACAGAGCAGTGATACTGTAAGATTGTAAGCCCAAACCCTTAATATGAACACTACTAATACCTCAATTTAACCATATGAAATAGTTTTATTCATTTTTTCAAAGTTTCCCATGTCATATACTTTCAACCGGCTGGAGCGATAGCACAGCGGTAGGGCGTTTGCCTTAAAGCGGCCAACATGGCGGACCCGAGTTCGATTCCTCCACCCCTCTCGGAGAGTGCAGCAAGCTACCGAGAGTATCTCGCCCACACAGCAGAGCCTGGCAAGCTACCCGTGACGTATTCGATATGCCAAACACAATAACAACAAAGTCTCCAATGGAGACGTTACTGGGCCCGCTCGAGCAAATTGATGAACAACGGGAGGACAGTGACCGTGAATACTTTGAAGAAATTAAAACTACAGAAATTGAAACTGCCTAGAAATATATCAATTTAACTTACACATGCAGATAATTTAATGCTACTATAATAAAATTTGATCACTTACAGCAGTTATTACTTAATTTTAAGCAAACAGAAATATAATACATTTAATACTACCCACTTTTTCTGATGGCACATTTCCCCCCACTTTTTCTAAATAGATTGAGAGTATAAAATATATTAAATTATAAGCATTTCATTATTTTTAGTTTTAATGGACTCTAAAATTATTTAGTAAATTCAAAAGACTTTTCCATTTATATTCTGCACATCCTTATTTCTTCAGATGACCAAAAGAAAATAATTATAGCAATTCAACTGTGGTAGGACTAGTAGTAATAATGATATTACTACAGCTTTAAATGGTTTGTAAAAATTATGATACCAACCTGGTCTCCAAAGTCCTCTGGGAATTTCCACAATATCACAGGATCTGTAAATAATTGACAAATGGCATTAAGCAAAGAAAGAGGCAAAGAAACATTTAAAGTAACAATCATTAAAATAGTCAATATTATCAAAGCTAAAATTTTATCATTTTAATTATTTATTTATAGTTGATGAAATTCAAAATTAAATCTTTGGGGTTATAATGACTTTAAGAACTAGAATAAAATTAATAATTTGTTCAAATTTTCAAAATCATTTAACAGTTCACTATTTTATCTGCTTAGATCTTTAAAGCCTGAGATAAACATATAAAATCTAACTACATTTGTCATATAGTATTAATTTTAAAAAAAGACTTAACTAGCAAATATGCAATCAAATGTATTATAACACTCAGGTTATATATGTATATAACTATATCACCTTAAATTTCCATTTAAGTACTAATAAAATTCACTAGAAAATATGCTTTATTTCAATAGTCTTAAAAGCCCATTTTGCAATTCTCTAAAGCATTTTTAATAACTGTTTGGTAGATAAGTATAAGGCAACAAACTGACAATTTTTCTAACATGTCATGCTCATATATGACTCATATAAATCAATATTATTTTAAATTATTTACGGACTTCATTTTTACTATTTCACATGTTATTTTTCTTTTACTTAGTATAACAAAAATTAGTCATTTGTGATAGCTCTAATTAATATTTTGGTCATATATTTTGATTTACAAAAACCAATTTCTGGATACTGGAATATGCCTTAAGGATACTATGCAATAGATTAAATTAGTTATGAAAACCCTTTAATAGCCTATGATGATAATCAGAGTAAAAAATATCAGCAATAAGAATTTTAAATCCATTACAAGAGAAAGGACTTGGTGAGTCAAAGATATTATTTGATGTATCTAGTTAATGAAAAATTACTTCACTCCACTATTAACATTATTACATTTTAAAAAATGTTCAAGAATGTTTAATTTCAGGCTTTCAACTCCAATGTTGCCTTCACCCAGCAGCATTATCAGCAGGAACTGGCATCTCTTGCTGAATTACAACTCAAGAAATTTTTTTTCATATATTTTAACTTTCAAAGAAAGAAAAGAAAACAGACTTTGTAAAATCTTTATATAGACTTAAGAAAATGAAAGATTCTGTATTAATAGAAAAAAATATTGTAAAATATGTTAAGACTATGTTATAACTTTATGGTGATATTAAATTATTATATTGTCATGTAAAATGTATATATTTTTAAAATAAGTTACATGCATTATAGAATCTAAAAATACTCAATGTGGAAGAATATGTAGAAAAATGCAGGTGTATTTATGTGTTAATTTTACCAAAATTATAGCTACTATCATAAGATATATGTGGCAAAATGTCTTAAAATCACCATTCTCTTAAATTCATTACTAGTGGTCATATAAACAAGTCACCATGCAGAAACAGAGTATGTCTTATAAATAATGAAATTAATGAATTTCTATGTATTCAAAATATTCCTCTTAATCAAGTTATTTTAGCTACCATTTGAGAAAACGTTTGTGACCTCATTCTTAAAATTCTTATAATTATGTCTTAAAAAAAACAAGCACTGTATCTTATATAACAGCCCTAATGGTTTACCCAATAGCTGGCAGCTACCTTCACAAGTCCTCATTACTTAGTCTATTATTAATGCTACTGTTTTGTTGTATCATCTGTTCTTTCAAAGAGGAAAACCTATGAAAGTGACTACATGAAGTCACATGGAGGGACAATACTCTTATTTATTTTCATCTTAAAAATTTTACACTTAAGCATCTAAATACATTTTATCATGCATACCCATATCCTATATGGTATATAAAATAAGGGTGTACAAAATAGTCATGCACACCCATGTCTGAAGTGGATTAATTTAAATTTAGTAACTCTCTATATTGTTAAATTTACCCCTCCTCTGACACAGCTTTATAACAACTTTTCACAAGTTCTGCCAAGAAAGAAACAAAGGAAGACTAAAAAATTAATAATAATCCAATTCTACAATTTCATGCATAAAGACTGAATTTTCTATTTCCTGAGGATTAATACCAAGTCTGGCATTGTTAAATTAATTTTATGCTTATTATATGGGTAAAAGGATGAGAACTGCTGGCAGGAACACAGCTGAAGTAATGAATGATATAACACTGTTTCCTTCTTGCATAAAGGTCACTTGAATTCAAGAAAACTTCATATCTTAATTTTAAAAATTAATTGACAATCTAGAAAACAAATATGAAGGAAAAAATACATGACTTTTTACATAAATACAGCTAATCTGATATTCTGATATGAAATAGTAGGGTGTAACAACATGTAACATTTTCATTAAACTGGTAAAATTGGTAAGTAAATATTAAAAATATTATTTGTCAACACCTTCACAAAGATTTCAAGTTTATGAGTTAGTCATTTTTTAAAAATAAGTAAGTTAAAATCGGCAATATTTTATTTCCTTTATAATCAGAACTTTACACTATCTGGTTCAACACAAATTTTAAGTTTGTGGTCCTAAATTTTAAACAAAAAATAATGTAAAATGTTACTGAGTAAACTATACTATAAGATATGCAGAAAACTATTTAGATACATATTTAATGCTGTAAAATTAAATATCTTTCAATTGCATATAAATAAAATTACAATTCAGAGATTATACATTTGAAAAAGTACAATATATAAAATTAGTAAACATTTTTCTTTTATTATAGCTAGGCTTACCTATGTCATATCAGAATTTTTTTTTTTTTTTGCTTTTTGGGTCACACCAGCATTGTGCAGGGTTTACTCCTGGCTAATGCACTCAGGAATTACTCCTGGCGGTGCTCAAGGGACCATATGGGATGCTGGGAATCGAACCTGGGTTGGCCGAGTGCAAGGCTAATGCCCTACCTGCCGTGCTATTAGCCCAGCCCCTCATCAAAATCTTTTTGAGTGAAAAAACTGAGGTCAAAATAATGAGAGGTTGGACATAGTAATACAGCAATTTACATAAAAGACTAGAATATTCTTACTCAAGATTTAAATAATATTTATATTAAAACATTTCTCTGGCTTACGTTCTCTTTATTTCACTTAAAAAAACTAAAGAATAGGAAAAGACACTGCCATCCAACACTCTCAAGCATTCATGAGAACAATGTGAAAAGATCCACTGTCTTATAGAAAGTATTATTTTAAACCAGGTATCTTATAGAAAAACAAACTCAACCTGAAAATTCATTGCCTGAACAATTTTTAAAAACCTCACTAATGATATAAACCATTTATAAAGCTTTGTAAATACTAATAAATGAGCAAAATTCATCAAATAAAATATGTGACTTTCATATCTTGACTTATATTTAATATCTTGACATACAGTGACATAAACTGGTGACCTAAAGAACATAAATTATCCACAACTTATAGGCAGGGTGTTTTGAATATACTACAATAAAATTTGATGAGTATAATAACAAAGAGATGAGATGCTACAAAACATAACTAAATCAAGGTGGTCACTGAAACTTTTTTAAATGAAAGAACACATAACCTAGGCCAGTCTTCTTCCCCTCCCAGGTCAGTTAATCTGCCAGTATTCGAACCCAGGACTTGGCTTTCACCACACAAGTACCCTAGGCATTGCCAAGTACCCACAAGTACCCTGGGTCACCCAGCATCCCTGACCCTCGTCCTGTTCATCCCCAACGCTGTGCCTATATTCTTCCCCTCCCAGCTGGTGCCCCCCACACACACACCAGGTACCCGTGGGGGGTGTGGGCTCTTCAGAAGTGGGCACAGATTCTGTAGAAGTGGGTGTGGATCAATTTTGGGCGAGCCAACACTCACGCAGCCCAGGTAGATTAGTCATACCAAGAAATCTAGTGTAACATCTCAGTCCCCATACCCTCTCACCAACATGAAGAAACAATGCAAATCCCCACCACATGTGGAGGATGATGAAAAGAGTCCAGAAGCCTCAGTAGGTGCTACTCACCTAAAGGATCTCTCTGAGAAAGAACTCAGATATGAAGTAATGAAGATGTTCAATGAACTCAAGGTATCCAATAACATGAGAGAAACAATCAAGAAATTACGGGAAGAAATGAGAGCAGAAATTCGAAAGCTACACACAAAATGTCAAGAATAAAAGATTCCGTAGATGAAATAAAAAACTCTGTCTGTGCCGTCAACAGTAGAATGCCCACAGCCAAAGAGAGAATCAGTGAGCTGCAAGATCAGCTGCACCAAGCAAACAGGCAACAAAAAACAATGGCAAGAGACCTCAAAATAACTCAAGAGTGAATGAGACTCCTAGTAGATGATTCCAAGAGGAACATCGTTAGAATCAGTGGAGTAACACAAGGTCAGGGAAACAATCCCAATGAAAAAGGCATGGTCAAACAAATCATTGCTGAAAAATTCCCAGAGCTGGACAATGCAGCCATACAGATTCAAGGAGCCCAAAGGTGGGCAGCTAAAAGAGACCCTAACAAAAACACTCCAAGACATATCATAGTTAGAATGATGGATGCCACTGATAGAGACACAATACTGCAAGTAGCAAGGTCAAAGAAGGAAGTCACATACAAAGGAGTACCCCTTAGATTCACAGCAGGCCTATCAGTGGAAACCCTCCAAGCCCGAAGGCAATGGTGGAATAAAGCAGAAAACACTCACTGAAATGAATGCTTCACCAAGAATACTCTATCTGGCTAAATTCTCACTCAAACTCGAAGGAACGTACACTATTTTCTGGATAAATAGCAGCTAAGGAACTTCATAGACTCAAATCAAACCTAAAAGAAGGGCTAAAAGGGCCACTATAAGACAAGAAAAACCCTACAACCACAACAGACCCTTAAAGAAAGATAACACAAAACCCCATAACAATAATCTCTCTCAACATCAATGGTTTAAATTCACCAATTAAGAGACACAGAGTGGCAAAATGGATTTAGAGACAGAACTCAACATTCTGCTGCCTACAAGAAACTCATCTCAACAGTCAGAGCAAACACAG